TGTAGCTGCTCCCAGAGCCTGTTAATTGCCCTGCCTGGCAGAGTGGCCCTCTGGTCTTGACTCTCCACCTTTGCAATAAAAAAACGAATACAAAGATGAGTGAAAGGTGTGAAAGATCCCGACAGTGCACGGGGATTTTTCCTGTGTTAATCACTACTCGCTTGGGAGCAGACACTTCCTTCCTCCCAGACCCCTTCTGTACTCTCTACAAGGTGCCCCTGCTGTCTTCTGAGGAAGATCTGAGTGTGCCAAGGAGAGGCAGAGAGGAAATTAGACTCTGGCCTGTCGTGACCGGCAGCCCACACTGGCTTTGTCCCAGGCTCTGGCAGAAGGGGATTAGAAGAGCCAGTGCTTCCCCAGAACGGGAAATCACTCAGAGGAGGGAGTCTTTTTTTTTTTTCTTCAGTAAACCTATTTTCCCTACCCTGTGGTTTTCTTTCTGGGTTTCATCTACCATCAGATCTGTCATTGACCTAGAAAGAACTTCAGTGTGTTGGAAAAGCATACTTCAAGCAGCTATAATAAATCTCAAATTGATATTTATGAAGTTAACTTTCTCTCACTCAGCATCTGATCATGTAGTATGTGGATGTCACTCATCTTAGAATTATGTCGTGTGAGAACCAAACGGGTCTGTCCATAACGATTAGCTAAACCAACCTCCTGTTTTTTTACTGATAAATCCGAGACCTGAAGGAATGACATTCTTTAGGGTCTCTGACACTCCCACGTAAGTAGCGGAAGCCAGACTTGAAGACAAAACTCCTTTTTACTGGATTCCATTGTGTCCCACAGCCTTTCTGCCTAGTAAGCCTGTCTATGAAAAGTTTTATTTGGCAACCACAGAGGCTGGATGGAGAATAAGAAAAGTCAGTAAGCTCAAAACCCATCCCCTTCGCTACCTGTTGATATTGTCACCTGTAATACTGCCATCTACAGATGAGCTTTGGCTGTCTGGATTATGTCTGGTCTCTTCTTAATGGGCCTCAGATCCCCAAGTATGGCCATCCCACAGCTTGGTCACAGCCATGGCCAATCATCTGAACTGGGCGAGCTGACGGAGCACCTCTCCCCAAATCCTCTCTGTCCCCACCCAAAGTTGTGCTGGGCTAGGGCCATGTGGCCTGCCGCCTGCCATCCGCAGGATCCCACCCCTGCCCTTCATTCACTGGGTCAGCATAGGTGGGCTTCTGACATTCTTTAGGTCTCAATTGCTCCAGCTATAAAATGAGGACAATCATTTAATCATTTCCATAGAGTCTTGTAACAAATAAAATATTAGAACTTTGAAGAAAGTACTTAGCAGACTACTTACTGTTACTGTTATCATTCCTAACCTGAAGGGTGATGAGGGCAAAGAAGCTAACAATTTAAACTGTATGTTCAGAGCCTGGGAATGAATCTCCATTTAACATTCAGTCCTGGCCTCTTTGGCAGCAAATACAGAACAGAAAATATTGTGATTGGGATTGACATTGGATTAGACTTTACTAGCACAAAATGCTTGGCATTGTCTACTGTTAGAATATTCTTTTTGTTTTGAATGTTGTATCTCTTCTGTGATTTTCCATGTGTGAGCACAGGCTTACTACATTCAGGGAAATTATCCTATTATTGACAACAATATCCTATTATGGTAAATTTGATGAGTATTTACTGAATGTGTGTTGAGTGAATTATCTAGAACCTATACATAGTTATGGAAACATGGATTATGTGTAGATTCACATGATAGATTCCAACTATACTAAGGTCAGGACTACTACTTTGTGTCACTTGTGCTTTTTTTTTTTCTGAGGGCCTCTTCCCGAGCTCAACAATAAGCTTGTGTGGCTAGAGGTTGTCCATTTTGTAGATGGAGGTGTCTTCGTCACCATTTCACTATCATGCTTTGATCTTTCCCTGGCTTGCTATCCCCCTTCTGGCCCCAAGAAAAGACATTAATTTAAAGACAAAAATGAAGTCACTATAAACTAACAACTAACCTGTTATCATTTTCACCTTCATTTTCCAGTGCAGAAATTTCAAGTAAGTATACAGAAAAACAAAACAAAAAAACAAAACAAAACAAAAACAGCAACACAGCTTCAATCTCTGCCTTCCTTTTTTCCCCAGGGAATATATCTAAGAACGCCTACTAATGTCTCTGTTGTCCTAAGTGGGGCTCCTTTAGGAGGTTAAATCAGAGCACTCTAAAACCTTACACAGGCTGACACCCAGGTAGCATGTCAGTGTACCTGCCAATGGCAAAGTGGATGGCCAAGACTAGATTGTGTGTGTGCTTGACATGTAGTCATAAGAACCAAAGATCAGAACTGAGGACTCTCAGAAGCCACAGAAGGGAGTCTCAGTTCTCCATGCCTCTTATTATCCTCTCACCTCTTATCCCACAGTAGAAACCCACAGACACCTCCTGCCAGGTAGGCGGCCTCAGCCAACACCCCCTCTCTGGATGCTTTGTCACTCAGCATCTCCCTGCCACTCAGAAGCAAGAGTGACACATGTTCTACCCACCTCTCCATTGGAAATTCAAAGCAGCTGCATCTCACGGCAGCTCTGGTACTTAGAATTAAGAAACATTCCTTCTCAAACTTCACTAAGAACTCCTTTTTCCCAAGTCTCCATCCTATGATCTGGTGTACAGGAGTTAACATGGTGCATGCTTTCTTTGGCCTATGGTCTCAGGGATCATAGCAGCAGACCTTCAGAGTTGGCACATCATTAAATAGTTTAAAACTCCCCACCCAGCAGCGCATGGTCGCCTTAGAGAATAGATGGAAACTATCCCTTTGCTATAACTGGGTTCAGCCCTGTGGCTTAACACCATCTTATTTGGCAATCTTTTTCTCTTGACATATTTAGTAATCACTCTAAGGGAGATTTATTAGACTGCTCATAGGAACAAACAATGCACTAAATATTACACATATGCATGCTTTCAATACCACTCCTTTTCTAGCCTATTCTGAATCTTTCCCCAAAGTGTTTGTTTGAACACTTATCAAAACTCTCTCTTGTCTTTAAATTCCTCTTGGCTCTTCCCTCCCCTAAAATAACTTTATATTTGAGATTTTTTTTGTAGTTAGAAGTTCCTTTAATCAAAATTTACTGGGCCATGCTTAGAGAAGAATGGATAAAAAGATACACTCAGTTTAAGATCATTGAAGATATTGTGCTCATCATTAATCCCAAAGCACCAAAACAAAAATTTAGCATATGGTAAGGGTTTTGTGAAAATAATCTCTTAGGTATCTCTGGGAGATAAAAAATGTGTGTGTGTGTGTGTGTGTGTGTGAAAGAACTCAAAATTTTCAGCCAAACATAATATGGTGAAGCATTTCCTGAACCTGAGGGCTGATACCCATGAGGAGATATGGGGGAGGGTGCACTGAAAATTAGGATTAGCAACTCATGCTCTGTGCTAACTGGAGGACTTTGACAGCTGGTACCCCTCCGACATTTTCAAAAAGCATAATAAATATCCCACTCACCCTGGCACATGCACAGCAAAATGTCTTCACAAATAATCCATCCAGAGCAGATTTAAGAGAAAATATATCAGGGTCACAGAGATACTCAGAAGGTTATGAGTAATAATGGCACAGTCACGGTGTGGCAACTGGATGTTAAACTTTATTCCCACTACATATGAAATGTTCTTCTTCACTCATTAGATACACAGTGGATATCTCTGTGCCTTTGAGAACCCACTCAGTGCTAGCCACAGGCACAATCATTTACTTAACACTCAATTACATGTCTACCACTGGCCTCATTTTGCTGACTGGGCACATTTTACAGAGATAAGGCCTTATTTTCTCACTTTAGACTGTAGAGTACACATACTCCTACATATCTGAACTTGAGCACCTGTGATTTGTTAGGCAACCTTAGCACATGGCCAGTGAAAGCACCAATTTAAGCATTAGTTGCTAGGAAGAACTTTGATTCAACTACCAGCGTTATTAACCTAGAGGTGTGTGGTGAGGGGCTAGGAGCACAGGTTCCAGAGCCAGGCTACCTGGGTTAGCCTATGTGTCCTTACTATGTGTGGGACCCTGGGCAAGCAACTGTGTCTCACTTTACTCATTTGTAAAATGAGGCTTTTACTTGTACCTACGTCATAGTTTCTTGTAAGGACGAAATGAGTTGATCTGCATAAAAGGCCTAGAACTGTGCCTGGCATAAAGGAGGAGCTGTTAAATGAGTGCTTGTACTCCCACTGTCCACTTTGACCACAGGTGTATAGAGCTTGGACATGGCAAGTCTGACTTGGGGAGGGGTGTGTAGAATACATCCCACTGTGCTTCTTTAGCATGACCACCATGTATCCCAGCCAGTCTCTCGCTGTTCCGTTTCCCTTCCCATATAAGCAGACAAGGAAAGCCAGAGAATATGAGGTCTCTCAAGGTGAGCCTCCTGCCTTTTATGGCACCAAGTGACAGAATTGGATGGGGAAGTCATTTAGGAGCCCTAGAAGTTGGCAGCAGGGGATGGGCCTACCGAAGACCTCTGCACTTGAAACTGTACCCTAGTTCACTTTGTACATTATATCTTCTAGATGGTGCATGTATGTGAGATTCTCAGACATTTATAGACCAGTTGGGTCACAAATAAAGAAGAGAACCTGTGGAAATAATGCTGTGCCTTAACCCAGCACTGCACAAACAGTACCTTTATCAGAATCTTCCGGAGAGCTTGTGAAAACCCAGATTCCCAGGCCCCACCCCAGAGCTTTCTGATTTAGCAGGTCTGACGTGGAGCCTGACAGTTTCCATCTCTGACAAGTTCTCAGCCTCTGCTGATGCTGCTGGTTTTGCATCCTTACTACCTAGTCTCTAACCTAAGGTTATAACATTTAATTTGAACTCTTTAGCTTAGAGAGGACACAAGTGACTCCATCACTCCCAAAAAGAGAGATCTGAATCCACAGAGCTAATGCCATGTATTAATGTCTTATTTTTGGAAATAAACACTGACTTTCATTTTTTCTCCCATAGTTGCATGCTGCTGTGACCAGGATCCAGGTTCCAAGGCCTGGTTTTAATTACACGTTTGCCCACATATGTATCCTGAATAACGATAAGACTTGCATCGTGGATGACATAGTGCATGTTCTGGAGGAGCTAAAGAATGCTCGGGCCACCAACCGGACCAATTTTGCTATCACATACCCGATCACTCACTTAAAGGATGGGAGGGCAGTGTACAACGGACACCAGCTTGGAGGCGTCACTGTGCACAGCAAGGACCGGGTAAAATCCGCAGAGGCTGTCCAGCTCACCTACTACCTGCAGTCAATCAACAGTCTCAATGACATGGTGGCTGAGAGGTGGGAGTCCAGCTTCTGCGACACTGTCCGACTGTTCCAGAAATCCAACAGCAAAGTCAAAATGTACCCTTACACATCCTCCTCACTGAGGGAAGATTTCCAGAAGACCAGCCGTGTATCGGAACGTTACCTGGTCACCAGCCTGATCCTGGTGGTCACCATGGCCATCCTGTGCTGCTCTATGCAGGACTGCGTCCGCAGCAAACCCTGGCTAGGCCTGCTCGGGTTGGTGACCATAACCCTGGCCACTCTCACTGCGGCCGGGATCATCAATCTTACTGGTGGGAAATACAATTCCACCTTCCTGGGAGTCCCTTTCGTCATGCTAGGTAACTACTGCCCTTCCTTTCTTTTATTTCCTCCTTCTGGTGGTGGTGACTGGGTTCCTAAAAGACAGGGAGTAGCCATCTAACAACTTCGTTTTGTTTATAGTGTCTTCCTTTTGCCCAAAAGCCCTGGAACTGATTCTATAATGTGCTGCTGGCCATTGGCAAGGGGCAACCTTATTTAGTATTTACCAAAATAACTTGTGCCACAAGTCTAAAGCCCTGAGTCTCACCCTTGGTTCTCTGTTAAGTAGCTGTGTGGCAATTAGCAGATATTTATCTTCTCTGGCACCCCATTGTCTTAGGTGGGGCTTCCCCAGAAGCAGACCCTGAAACAAGGATTTAGAGAGAAGAAGTTTATTTGGGAGGTGAGCCCAGGAAGCCCCAGCGTGGGAGTGAGAATATGAGTCACAGAAGGAAGAAAATTCAGACTATGTTAATGGGCAGGTTACTGCTTTAGGCACCTGTAGCTCAATCCCACTGGGGGCCTTTGGGAGACTTAACAGAACATACATGAGAGAGGTCTTCCATGAGGGGTGAGGAAGCCACAAGCTGGGCCATGTACCCAGAAACCCTGTGTGATTCATGGACAGCTCTCCCCAAGGAAGACTGAGTACATTCCTGCAGCCACAGAAACCCTCAGGTGGATGGCATGTGTAGTGAGAAGCCTTCTATGAGCTCAGGAAGAGTGAATTGGAGGGCACATGCGTTGGGCACTGACAGGGTCTGCTCCCCTCAGCGTCCCCACCCTATGGATGGAATGGATGTGAGTATCACAAAAGGGGGTGTGATAAATGTACAAGAACTCTGAAAGCAACAAGTGAGACATAAATGAGAAAGTACCTCTTTCTTTGTCCTTGCTGTATAAACTCAGGAGAATGCTTAAAAATGACAGTATGAGAGTCCCAGTATATTCTCTCTCGGGGCTGCAGGAATTTCCTGATAGAGGTAACGATCAAAACAAAGCCAGAGTGGTTACAATACAACATCAGTTGCTCTGTTCATCTGGTCCTGAATGTGGCATATCCAGCAAGCCTGACGGCAGGGTTCTTGTGGGCCAAGGGTTCCAGGGGCTCATTTCTCCCTTTTTTGTGACCATTTCTCATTGGTTCCTTTAGCAAAATTAAAATGTCATTGGGAATCAGATACTGACATGACAAATGAAGTGACACTTTTCACTGAATGAGAAAGAACTATGGTTGAGTTCATTAGAATGCCTAATGCCCTGTTTGGGGGGAGTGGAAGGAAAGAAAATAATTTACTCAGGATTCTCAGCTGCATTATGGTTACATTATAAGCAGGGTGGTGGAGTTGCAAGGTCGCGGAATGCATGATGCCCTCCATGCTCTGAGGCCTGTGGGAATGCAGACTTAGGCAGTAAAACATTCATGGTAGCTCCTGGCAAAGGGAGCGCTGTGGAGACCAAGCAAGTTGCACATTCATCAGATGGCTTATCGCCGCCAAATACGAGAGAAGGAGGCCGCCATACTTCCTCCCTAATTCAGTCCGTGAAGAAGGCAGCATAACTTGCCTCTTGAACCCCAAGACGTCATGCACCGATGATGGGATCCACGGTGGTTCCTTGAAGACTCAGTGTACCTGGGTAGTAGCTTCCTTGGAGGTTTGAGTCAAGGCTTCTTTAAATGAAGATGTTTTGCCCATGACTAATTCCATGCTTGGGTTTTATTTTTTGGCTTTTCATTTTAAAAATGCAGCATTTTTATTCTGATTGTTTTTGGGGCAAGAAGAAAAACAGGAATAAGGAAAGAGTGGGGAACTGATGGGAGACAGTGGGTTTTTAAGATCATGAAGAAAGAATGTCAGAGCTAGAAAAAGGATTATTGGCCCAGGTTTGATGACACTCCAAGATGTGACCAGTGAGCCCAAAGTATGATATGCTATTTACAACTTCCTAAAAACTAATTGCATAAAGTAAAATAAAACTTCAATATTTAAAGCTTCCTAAAAATATTTTTTAAGTAAAATAACATAGCAATAGTCAAAACTTCTTAAAACTAATTTCACCAAGTAAAATGAAATGGAATATTAGAAACTTCTCTTAATTAATTTTATTAAGTAAACTAAGTTATGATATTTAAGATTTCTTAAAACTTATTTTTGTACTTCCTAAAGAAGTTTTAAGCATCATAAATAAAAGCACAAAAAGGAACATACCAGCTAGTTATAGGTGCAAAGATGTAAGAGATTGGATGCTGTTAGCTGAGAAGTGGCTTCAGGAAAGTCCACAAATAGTAATGCCACAGCTCCACAGAGACTGGCTATCACTGAACTTGATGTCAGAGTTCAATTCAGAAAAACCTGGCGTTTGTGGTGAAAGAGAGCAAGCGCTGCAGGTACCCAATACTTCCTTGTTTGCAATTTGAAAGGAAAGTTATACGCATTGATTTGATGGCAGTTTTCCCTGCTGACAATCAGTATGCAACCTTTCTGTACACTTTCAGCCCAAAGAGATCTCAAATTACTTAGTCACAACATGAAAGGAAGCTATGCATTTTAGTAGCTAAAGGCCCATTTGCAATAAATATTTTGCACCATGTAATGGGTGCTTAATATGCTCATAAAACCAACAGTGCCTGGATTTAGGATGGTCACTCTTCTGTGTTTCACAGATAAACGTCATTCTCAGAATGTTATTGTGAAATGAAATACAGGCAAAAACATGTTCGTAAATGTTGCAGTTAGGGCCAGTGTTTAATTCCGGATTTTTGATGACCAGCCCTAAAATGCCACTAAATATTTCAAATGACCAAGGAACGATGCAGTGCTAAGGGTTTTGCAGTATGAGTCCATAAACTGTCCAGTTTTAAATTTTGTCTGTCTATAACATAGAATGTCTATACTTAAACTGAGATTTAAGCAAAACTTCTTGATTTTCTATGTTATATAAATACAGTATCAAATAAAAACTTAAAACTATATGGCCTCATTTAAAAGGAAAAGTATCTTAGAAAAAGTCTTTAATACAGAGATTTCCTTGGCCAACAACAGGTCTATAATGTGATAAACACTATATTTAAAATTCAGCAAACTAAACATTCTCAGTGTGATGCCGGTCACATAAGGCCAGATCCAGCCAAATGCCAAAATGGCAGTAGATTTAGAATGGAAAATTTTAAGACCACGTGTGTCAAGCAGTATTAACCTGACAAAATTCCAGAATAGGAAAGAATTTGGATAAACTCTGAGAGTTCGCCATAATGGGATGTGACTGTGTGTTTCTAGCCAAGATGATACGTGACATCTCTGGCAATAAGAATATATCCTACACAGATGAATCATTTTGGCAATGATGTAAGCATAGATACATCATGATTTAGAATGTTTTTAATCAGTGTCATGCATATTAGACAATCCTACTTCTGCCAAAACCCCTGTCCATATGAGTCAGATCAGTTTATTTAGAGCTGAAATCCTTAAAGGTCTACAGCATTATAAATGCCCATTGACATTTTTTAGTTACTATAAACTTGAAGAAGAGTTTATCTCATCCATACCTGTTATGCATAAAGTAATATCCTTTCTTTCCAAACTATATTAATATCAGGTACTGAAGTACTTGAACTGCCAATGTAAACATATGACACTCATCATTTTAATCCATTAGGGAACTTCCTTTAAAGGATTAGGATTTACACCATTGTCCTCCAGTTGGCTATGATTTAAGAAATTGGCAAAGATTCTATGCATGCAAGCTCTCCTCACAGGCTTACCATTTCCACAGCTTTCCTGGTCAGACACAAATCAGGAAGGGAATGGAATGTTGGAGAATGTAGAAGGGAATGGAAGGAAGGTCTCTTCCTTCATCTGGAAGGTTTGTGGCTTCACGTACATTCTGACCAGCTGAAAGGGCAGAACTGAAGTTGTGGTGAAAAATAGTTTTGATATTAGTTTGTACATTATAAGGGTTGCTTTGCATTTATCAAGATACAAGAGGCATGGAGATAAGATGAGACAAAAAATATCATTCAAGAAAAATATTCTTCAAGCCCTTTCACAACAGACTGCTAACCACTATATGATCACAGTGACCTACTAGGGAGTCACAGCCCTTTCAAATGTTTGGGACTTTGAGAAGGTCAAATGCCACGTCCAGGGTGCTCTTTTCCTTCTGAATTATCAAGCCAGGCAACTCAAATTCAAGAATGGGAAAGGAAGAAAGGATGTAATTAAGTTCTAGGAGGAGAATAATAGCAGGGGCGTTTGGTTCCTTTCAGGTATATTCTAAGATTATCTGTATTTAGCAGAAACCAGAAGATCAGGTTCAGTTCTCCAAGAATTTGTCCTCATTTGATGCCACCTGGAATATGATGCAGTGTATGGAGCTCAGGCTTATAAAGAGGTGAAAGTTCCTGTGCAGGAAAGTCAGTTCTGGGAAATCAGGACTCTTAATTATTTTTGCTCTAAACTCAAGTAAACCTGAAAGGTTTTGCTTTCCTGGTGAGTATTCTGCTATATCTCTTTTTTTAAAAGTAATCTCTATACCCATTTTGGGGCTCGAAACTCAGGACCCCCAAGATCAAGAGTACCATGCTCTACTGACTGAACCAGCCAGGTGCCCCTTTCTGGTATATTTCTAAAGTCATGAGACATGTGTGTGTGGGGGGGGAGGGATAATAATAAAGTTCAAACCATAGGAAATTGCCAATATTCAACTATTTTTGACCTACAAAATTGGTATCATTTTTGAACTACAAAGCAGTAATTTCTTATGGTTCAACCTAATACATTATTGTAGAAGTCCATTATTCGCAACAATATGGCAGTCTACATGATGGAGTAGAATGCTGTGGAAATACTCTGCTTGGATATAAATCACTAATTGGTTCAGTAATTTCTGGAGAAAAAACCCCCTAATTTATAAGGGCTTTATTGTTTCCAGTTTTGTTTACATCTGATGGAGTTTTTTTCCCTGGATATCTTTTTCATAATGTCTGATGGTCATTTGGGGCCTACTTACAAGGAGATTGTGCAGTCTAGTTTTG